GACTAATTCCTTAGAGTTAATTCCGTAAAGTAACGACAAACGGTATTTAGCCAGGTTATCGAAAAGGTCAATTAACCAATCGTGTACGGTTTACAGATCACATGCTCCTCCATGTACCGAAAACTGGTCACGTGCTCCTCCATGCCTCAAAAGTAAAACGCATACCAATACCCTGCGGTCTCCAGACCGCAGGGAATAAGTTCTTCATAAAGATATATTTCAGTTGTACCAGCGTGTACATCTATACCGGAAGTGGGTGTAACACGTCACAATCTCGGTCTCGTCTGTCTCGCGAGAATGACAGAAACCCAAAATGGCGGCGCCCATGAACTTATTTCACAAGTAAAAATAGTGTCTTAAAACACGAATTTCTCACTTATAGGGTTAATGTCAACAGAAAAACTGTCATGGTACCTCTTTTTTAATGATGAATATTTATATTAGACAGACATCAATCCATCCATTCCTATTCCTTTAAAATGTACGATATAACAGAACTGGTATTGACTTGGAAAAGCATCGCGTCCTGGCATCATGTGTCTCTGCAAGTCGAGCAGGGATAGGAAGCTGGCTAGATATTTAGCTTAACAATCAGCTCGAGATTTGCTTTTTCTCTTCTTTTTTAAATGCTCGTCTTTCTTTTCTGTCTCCTTTTTGAATGTCGATGCGGTATGTGAAATTAAACTGGCTTGACATTCAGCACAACATTTAAGTCGGTATTCGATTCGTTTCTTGTCTCTTTTATCAGTGCATGCTTTGTTGAATGTCACGTCAGCTTTACATACCAGCTCGACATTCGACAACATACGTTAAATGTATTGCCAGGTACACATCAAAGCTCGACATTTAAGAAAAAGATAGAAATGAATGTCGAGCTCCTGAATGTTGTGCTCAATGTCTAGCCAGCTTCACATCCCAGCTCGACATTTGAAAATAAATAAAAAATAATAAATAATATAAATAAAGAATATCCGAGCTGATTATTGTGCCGAATGTTTAGAATTCTTCATTACCAGCTAGACCTTCAAAAATGTTTTTAATAGATGTGTGTAATGAAAATGTTTTACTATAATTATGTACATAATGAAAATCAAAGGCCCCCCGAGGCGCCACAGGGCTATAATTTGAACAATTTTGGTAAAAATCCACTACAAAATGATTCATACCAAATATCTAACCTCTAACCTGATTTCTTCTAGACATTTTACTATATACATATAAGGAAAACCTAATAACCCCGGGTTCGGGCCAATTTTGACACTAGGGGCAAAATTTGAACATTTTTTGTAGAGGACCTTAAGATGATGTCATATACCAAATGTCAAACCACTTAATCTTTGACCTTCAGTCAAGAAGATTTTTAAAAAAGTTTTTACTATATGCCCCTGGGGCACGACCAATTTTAACCCAATGGCTATAATTTGAACAATCTACATTAGTGTCCAATAGATAATGCCTGATGCAAAATATCTATGTTCTAGGCCTTGTTGGTCTTTAGAAGAAGTTAAAACAAATTTTAATTCATTTTTCAAATAACTATATGGAATCAAATTCTTTAACAACTTTGGAAGCCCTTCACCCAAGGAACAATCCTGCCAAGCTTGGTTGAATTTGGACTTACTGTTTTTTAGGAGTGTTTTTTTTTAATTTCACTATATAATCTTAAGCACCCTTCCCACACACACGCACATACGTACTCACGCACATGCACAAACACACACACACACACACACACACGCACACGCACCCACACGCACACACACACACGCACACACGAGCGCACTTGCTATTTTCGTTTGAAGCGTGGCATAAACACGAATGTCAGCATAATGTTGTGATGAATATGTAACCATCTTCAGATCCGGGGAGATATTTTTCTAGTCAAATTTAGTTGCGATATATCGACATGTCATAGTATTGCGGTATAAAAGCATAAAGTAGTGATATATTTTCACGAGATACAGTTATAAAGTGCACAAAACTACAAACAATTACACGGGCATGTATCAACTTTAAGGTACCCCATAATTTTTTTTCGTCAAAACAGTTTCCGATATATCGACATGTTATTATGAATAGTATTAATGGAAAAACTTCTAGTTGAAATCTGAAACATAAATACATCAAGTAGTCATATATTTTCACAAAATCTGTGATAAAGTGGACAAAATACATACAGTTACACAGGTAAGAAGCAACTTCCAGGTGCCTTATTAACGTTTCCATAAAAATCCGATAAAACTAAGTTGAGAGATGTAAGGAGGGTAAAATTGCATTTCGATTTTCTTCATGTTGCTTTGAAAATTAAAGAAAATTTATTAAGTTGAAAACTTATCCTTACGAGTGACCTATCATCTCTATCACATATGGTGTTAGAGTGCACATCTGGATCAGAGGAATTTCACATATATCTTTTACCGGTGCTCAATTTCGAGGTCTATAAGAGGTTAAGCCCCCGTGATACTACACATTATAAAAAAAGTTTAAATCAAAATTCAAATTGCTTGACAGGACCTCAATTGGTCCTTTCGATGTCATTTTTGAGCCTTTTCGACGTCATCAATAGATTATCGATCTATAATATATTTGAATAAAAGAAAAGTATATCTACGGCGCACGTTAACATTAGACAAGCGACAAACGTCGTGTACATCCATGTGTTTTATACTACTGCCGCAAATCTCACCGCCCGGCATTTTTATGTCGTTCTTGTCGGATATTTCTCCGGATGGTATCAATACAAATCTATCAAGTCACTAAAATATCAACAATTGATCATACAAATTTCATTACGTTCATGTACAAACTTCTGTACATTATGTGCAATGAGCGATTATTGATGTACATGCAATACCTCATTACAGAGTATAAACTGTCCATTCCGTCACATGCATTGTTTAATTTATTCAGCTATGTGCATAACTTCTAATGTACTATGTGAATTTTTAAAATGTAGTTTCAGAAATCAGCAAGTCATCACTGTACTTGCAATAGTTAAGTTTGTAATCTAGGATTACATTGAGTTTCAAGGCACTGGTTTGCCAGCGTTTAATACTTAGAATGAAACTAAAATCTCCAAGACGCTTTGGGTCTAGAAACTATGTTAACACACAAAACATACATACAATTATATCAAATAATATTTAGCAGAGGCAGATTTAGAACTTCAGTCATCTGAATATTTGACACCGTCTTTTATTGTGATTTCATCCTTTGAAATATACGGCAAACAGTCGATACGCAAGACAACAATATAGGTTGAATTGAGAATAAATGTGTATTCAAAATTGCATGCACCATTACTTCCACATATAACTTTTTAACGTATGAACCCCGAAAAACATGAATTAATCTCATAGTAATAATGGCGAAAGGAAGCAAAATGACGTCGGAATTGGAAATTAAAATATCTGCTTCCATGCTCTAAAAATGAAATAAGATCATTGGTACATGATAGTTAAACAACTTATTTTGTTACAAAACACTGAAAAACATCAGAAAATCAGTAAATTACAGACTTTATAATACAAAGGGGCGTAAATATTAAAGGGCAGTCGGTTATCTGCAAGATTAAATTGTAATTTAACAAATGCTTATGATAAATACAATGATAACAAAAAGGGATGCATGGAAATTGGCCGAAGGAATGGTCATTGGTTATCATTAATATTAACTTCATTTTTACTGTTATTGGTGTTGTTGATAACAACAGTTATCAACAATAACAACAACAATAACAGCAATAATAATCATAATAAAATTATTATAATTGATATTATTTATTATATTATCATTGTTATTATTATTATTATTTTTATTATTATTATTATTGTTATTATTATCATTAAAATAATAATTATTATTGTTACTATTATTTATTCTATTATTAATTTTATTGATATTAATGATATTATTATTATTTCATTATTATTATTATTATAACTATCAGTATTATTATTATTATCAGTATTATTATTATTATTATATCATAATCACAAATTTAAAAAACCAAAAGGATTCCTGTCAGATTATTTCTCAAAAGGGGAACAATTAGGTTGTATTTTTTCCAGGAAAAAAATCCAGTTTGTTTGTTTTTGTTGTTATTTTTTCAAGCAAAAATTATTGAAAATTAATCAAATTGTATTTTTAAATGTTTCGAACACCTTATTTGAATATGAAATCATGTTTTTTATGTTTGTTTTTATCGTTTCCTTCGATTATAAACCACCTTTTCTGTGTATTCTCTGTTGCTTTATCATTTCCTAGTATGCTTGGTCTGCTTCCAACAAAAAAATCATAATTCAAAAATTCAGCATTTTAGGCCGGTGGTATTATCAATGGTTCTGCGGCAATATGAACCATTACGAAAATGACCTGTATTAATACTGTACTTGGTTTGATTATATTGCACACGCGGTTGATTCGGTAAGAACTGTGTTAGAACGCAATAAACGTACTCGTCACGAGTGTATTGACAACATATACTGAAGATTTAAACCTAGATAGCATCGTGTTGCAAATCTACTTATGGAATTTCAATGTTTTCATATTAAAATTTAAAAATTGAATACGATAAAAAAACAAACCGGAATGTGGTCGGGTTACATCTGTCTCTGATAAGGATATGCGAGCAACAAACGGCAGATAGATGTTAACATATATTTTTAATATAGTCGCTTTTTTGCGGTTCAACAACGATATGAGTACGAAAATGTTGTTGTTTAACGTTCGCAATCCGAATTTTCGGATAACAGGATCATATACATCACAATACAAACTATAAGTCAGCTAATTCTTAACTTCACTGTGTTAAACTGAGTATATCCTGCAAAGTTAAATGTAGCAGCTTATATCGTAGAACATATTTTTACCACAACCAAACTTTCATTTTCAGCTACAAAATTGAATCATGCGGAAATTTACGACATTTTTGGGTGCAAGAGTATACTGTGATAAATTGCTTTAACTTTTGACAAAGTGACATTATTTATAATTTCCATTATTTATTTGTTTTTTTAATAAATGTGACAACAAAATAATTTAATTTAAGTAAGTAATCCACACAGTTTGAAAAAATCGTTAATCTGCATTATGATGAGTTTAAATATTAAGTTGAGAAATGTAATAATTCATAGAATAAAATGCTATTCCAAAAATCCAAAATATAACAATTGCTCAATCGGAATTTAAATTTTATTATTTATCATTTTCATCAACGTTTCTACTCTTGTTGGTCGTTTATTACAATGTGCCTTGTACAGCCTCTGGATATAATAGTCACAGTCTAGAGATTTAGCATATTTTGAGCCATCTGTATGACGAGTCTGCATCAGCTCGAATGCCAATCTACATACCTAAGAATAGATTACAAATGTTAATATCAGAAAATGTCAGGAATAATACTATCATATACGTTTCTAAAGGAAATTATGAAAGATATTAATTCAATAAAAAAAATGTGTTAGCTTCTCGGCAAAATTCAAAATTCGAAAAAAACAAAACAAAAGCAAACGATTATTGAAAAAAAAAAAAAAACAACAACATTATTACATATAAAGAATATAACAAATAAACAACTAAGATAAACAATTTAGCTGATTTAGCTGTATTAAGAAATGAATGGATCAATACACATGCATAAAACCTAACATTGTACACATTTTCCAACGAAAATGAAAACTAAGATCTATGTTACAATAGATGGGCTACACTTGACGAACATTAAGAAAAAAGAAAGAAAAGAAAACCTTCAAAAACAAATAATTATAATCTTTAGAAAACGGGGACAAATATTATTTTATATTTGAGAGAAAACTTACGTTTGACGTCATGGTACATACAAGGTAATCGCATAAAGATAATAAATGTATGTCTACTATTATATCAGATAATGATGAAAATGTGTATCGTGTTTCAAGCTTATTTGCTGCAAGCGTAGCATTCATATCGTTGATGAAAACATAGTTAGGGTATCTGAAAAAAATCATTTGCAATTTGGTAGAAGTACTTTTCACGATAGCATGATCAATCAATAGATAATGAATTAAAATCTTATCATTGCTTTGATGATTTTTATTTGATTTGCCGAGCATAATCTTGACTTTAAAATGTCTCATTATGCACTTTACTTCTTGTAATTGACAAGAACGGGTTAATGAAGCACACAAAAAAGTCAGCATTAAAAAACGATCAAAAATAATGATGACATGTAGCATAACAAAACAGATAAATCAATTTAATATGAAACCTATCCATATTATTATATAAGACTAGAGTGTGATTTTTGTTTACAACTGTTTAGCTTCTTCCACGACTGTATATGAATCTGTTGCTAAGAATACTCTTCTTTCAAGGCCTGTCAATCCAAATCTTTTCTCAAAGTCTAAGTACCACTTTTCTGCAATATTCATGTAGTCTGTTAAATTGTAGTAGAAAGCTTCAGTAAGCTTGTCTGTTCTTCTAACTTGTAGTCTTAAAGTATAAATATATCATTTAAAGTATCTCAGAAACTTTGTAGATATATCATTTCACCCACTGTAGGTTGTTTTAATCATTAATTCATAAAGTAAGTTATTTCTTACAAGTACGTTTATGAAAAATAGTTTCGAGTGGTTTGAACACAATATTATCTTAGAGTAAGGCCAGTTTTTTCATCTTTTGATTTGACGCTTGGTCAATTCTGATATAAATACTTTCCTTTTTATTGTTTATCCTGATTCTGATAATTTTGGTGCGTTCATGATAATTGCCAAACAAATAAAAAATGAATATAATTGCAAATTGTTTTAATTCCGTTCCGTACTCATATATCCATAAAATACATTTGCTCACATTTTTGAAAATAGAATAGCATAAATATAATGTTGTCATTCTTTTAGTAAAGAAATGCATTTTTTCACGAGCGACCTCAGACAGGCGAATCTTTGATGTTTGAATACGTGTAATATCTACTGTTCAATCGGATAAATCACAGAAAGTATCACAAATTGTTATCATGATCAGAAGTTAAAAAAACACTGTCATTATTGGCATTATTGTTTTATGAAGAAAGATAACGCAAGCATAATTATTGTTAAAGAAGATAAATATGTTTGTCGGATAATTAGTGTCATCATTAATCGTAAATGCATTTGTGTATCTGTGTAACATTGATCTTCACGTAATGATTGTTCTGTTGGAAAGAGCGTACATGTTTAACCATTTATCACTTATGTTTGTAAAAGGTTAAACACTGATACTGAAGTCACATTATTATTATCATAATTATATACCAAACTTCTTAAGCACTTTTTTCATGCACATTGACACGTTCGAAAGTACTGTACAGTATAACCAAATAAATGATACAATATTTAAAAGAAAAAAAACAACAACAAAAGAAACAAATTAAAACATCAATATCGCTCAACTCACAAATTCAAATCAAATGTAGTTTAAAAAAGTTTAAAAGACCCACATAAATAAAGAAATTCAGGTAAGAACTTTAAAAATAATCAGTCCAAATAAAACCTCTTAAATAAATGAGTTTTAAGTGCTCTCTTAAACACTGTTAGAGTTTCACAGCTTTTAAACGTTCTAGGTAGGGCATCCCAGAGTTTAAGAGTTTAAGCACGATCACCATAAGTCACAGTCCTACTACGCGGTACAACAAGTGCTAAGCAATCATTCTTTGACCTAAGTTGTCTGGATGGGGTATAAATGTCTAGAATGTTTCGTATGTACGTAGGTGCCTGTCCATGAAACGCCTTAAACACATATGTAAAGAGTTTGTACTCGACTCTGATGTGCACAGGAAGCCAATGTAGTTCCTTTAAAACTGGGGTTATGTGGCAGTTTCGCGGTGTCCTGGTAATAGCTCGAGCAGCCGTAATTTGAACATTTTGGAGCTTGTTGAGAACGTAATTTGGAGATCCATATAGCAACGAATTACAGTAATCTAATTTTGATGTCACTAACGAGTTTATCAAGGTTCCGGTTGAATCATCAGTCAAGCATTTACGAATTTGACCTATTTGTCGTATTTTCATGAAGCATGAAAGAGAAACTGAGTTCACATATTGTTCCATGTCTAAATGAGAGTCCAATACGGCGCCAAGGTTTTTTTACTGTTGTTGATGGTTTTATTACAGAATCACCGACACTTACAGTAAGATCTTCAACATTACTTCGTTTTGGTACAAAGACGATCACCTCTGTTTTGTCCGCATTGAGTTTCAGAAGTTATTATTCATCCATAGTATGATGTCATTCAGGCATGCTTCAATCCGTCGCAAGGTCTCATTGCGTGAAATGGCTTCCTTTGGTTTAAATGCCATGTACAATTGCGAATCGTCATTGTAGAAATGATGTTGAAGTTAATGCTTCCGGCAGATCGCGCCCACAGGTTTGGTGTACATGATGTAATTCTTCAGACCAAAAACGGACCCTTGTGGCACAGAAAATGTCATACGTACAGATTTTGACAGTTCAACATTGACGCAGACAGTTTGATGACGCTCACACAGATATGATTTCATCCATTGTAAAGGTTTGCCTACTATTCCGAAGTATTGTCGAGTCTGCAAAGGAGGGTACTCTGGTCGATCGTATCAAAGGTAGCAGATAAGTCCAACATTACTAGAACAGTAGCTTCATTCTGATCAAAGAAAGTAGAATGTCATTTTGTAAACATAATAGAGTAGATTCTGTTGAATGAAACTGCCTATTAGCAGACTGACGCTCTTCATGAAGTTTATGTGCAGATAGATGTCTTTCAAGTTGGGAATCGACAACTTTCTCGAGAATTTTGGAGACAAACGGTAAATTAGATACAGGCCGGTAGTTTTTCATAACCTCTTGATCCAACCCTTACTTTTTGATTAAAGGTCTGACTCTAGAACTTTTAAAAGCGGGTGGTACATAGGCCCTCTCAAGTGAAGTGTTTATGATTTTTGTTATTAATGGTAATAGTTCATTTAAACAATCTTTCACCAGCCATGTTGGAATGGGGTCAATTTCACAGAATTTGTTTGGCGAATTGCGAATAAATTTTGAAATTTCATTATCAGAGACTACTGAAAAGTTTGTAAATTGCTCTCCATTGAAAGGTGCTTCAGGGACAACATTGTCTGTTTGTTGGTGAGACTTGGTCCTGGCTATACCATTACGTATGCCTTCAACCTTATCCACAAAGAAGTCACTAAAGTCTTGTGCTAGAACGTTTGCAGATTTTCCAGATGGAATCACAACATCTGTGCTTGCACCCATCTAATGCCGGGTCACTTTTGTAAGGTTTTTTTAATATCACCACCACATAACTCTACTTTCTCAGTGTAGTATTTGACTTTGGACATATTTAGAAGCTTATTATTAACAGCGCATTGGTTTCTATAAATTAAGTGATCTATTTTCAATCCAGTCAAGCGCAACTTTCGCTCTAAATGAACGTTCGGCATATTGTTCCTGTTAATAATGGTCAATTTATTATTTAAAAATCTTCCCTTTATCACCATGAACAGAAAAACTATCATCCTAAATGAACAAAATTGATGATGGGTAATTTTGTTCATTATGATCGAGGGGAGAATATTTTATGATTATATTACCATATTGTCAATACTAAAGTGTAAAACGCCTATGATAATGAATCAGATTACTATATTTGTAAACAAAATATATTTGGTGTACACAAAAGCAAAAGGATAGTTAAGTATAGCTTTTCAAGAAGAAATAAAAATTGTAATTGAATAATATCTTGATTCTCCATTCAATAGCCACCTTACTATTGCAGCATCCCTTGGCTGGCTGCTGAAGCCATTTTAAACTGCATCCTACTATTATCAATAATTGTCTACTTTCATAGCAAAGATTCAACATATACAGCGCAGAATTTGTAGATGACATACATTAGAGCATTTCGTTACATTTAGAAAACGATATATAATGAAGTATATCATTAAATGTATATTATAAGCAGAGCCAGAATGGAAAACAAATAAAGAAAATACATCTGACCTTGACGTATATCTCTCACTTTAATATAATGCCGACCGGGTAAATATATAAAATATATAGTTGAACACGTTTGCAGTACTTATACTATATATACATTTGAACGAATATCTCACTGTAATAAATATATCAGGTCAACATGTATGTTCGCGTTTTACAAATCTTGTTGTGGAGTTTCGACTTAAAGACTGGTTCTTTTAAAACGATAATATTATGAACATGTTTACAAACATAAATACTAATTTAAATTATTATGATATTTCAGCATGATTCAAGTAAATTTTCTGCAAAGATAACTCTCTAAGTTTCCTTTTGCTGCTATTTGCTGGTGGATTAGTTATCAAAACTATATAAATCACACACATACACACGCACGCACGCACGCACGCGCGCACACATTTTAAATTTGTTTATGATTTAGAGTTAAGTTTGCAGTCACTATTTTTTCTCTTATATTTACGTAATCAATATCAAAATATGTGAATATAATTCATGTAGACATTGAAATAAGCTTTTAACTATTAATCGGAGGTAATACAAATAATACTTACCCTACAATTACATTTTGAAAGCCAAGATCTTTCTTTTTCTTTGCAATAAGTATTTGCAAGTGTTGCGTAGGTCTTAGAATATACTGAGCTATTTGCCCAGCCCACCAAAGTTGTGGGTCTGAATGAAAAGTCTGAACTACACTCACGAGGTACTTTGGAAGTGTCCGTTGCAAATCAAAGTAAAATGATTTGTACCCAACTTTAATCACTTGAATTTCTTCTGATTTAAATAAACCTGAATTAAAATATATGCATGTATCCATTATGGAGATATCTGATTTTCTAATAATCCAAAATATCATTACATTAAAATCGATTGTTACTTCAAAATAATCCTAGATATAATTAAGTTTAATTAGAAACATTATCATCTGTAATTATCTGCTGAACATAAAATCATTTTATCAAGTAAATTTAGTTCAAATATTGCGAGATTCATCACTATCTACAATCATTTGTATTCATCGTCGGTGATGTAAACAAGATAGATTGAATACAATGGAACAATTATTATTCCTGAATTAAAAAAGTAATTAAAGTCCATTTATTTTAGTTGAAATTGCTAGACTAAATTATAGCCATCTGCACTCTAAAAAATATTCACTCCCACAAAGTTACAACATTGTCGAAACTATGCTATTTAAGAATGCTTTCTAAGACATAGCAGACGAAGTGTTTAAATATTTACGGAAACGTAAGAATATTTTGAAAATAAACAGAAATTTGTTTCATTTAATACAAAGCAGAAAGGCAGAGACAATTTGATATCTAATTGTCACTGTCGTTGAAGCAAAGTTCATAAGTTTCATTTAAAAATTGGATTTGTTTGGTTTTGTTTCAACAATTGTTATGAAATAATTAAAATTCAAATACAGTGTTATATAAATATTATATTAATAATAGGTTGTTGCAAAAGTACGAAATAAAAAGATAGAAAAAATAATAAAAGCAGATACTTAAAACAACTTGAGCTGTTTGATTATACAATGTCGTGCAATTGTTGCTCAAGGGAAGAAGCAATCCTTTCCATCCTGATTTTGAATACTGCGATTCATCCGATTCAATAATAACTGTTCTGTTTGTTATGAACCCAACCGTGAAACAAATTGTTAACAGATGAACTTGACTTCCGAATCCATCTGAAACATAAGCATGATTCTCATTCATTTAAGTACTTTAAAACAAGTTTATGAAGAGATCCTTATTAAGATATGGTTGTATATAATTGCAATTTGGTCTGTTTGTGTGTGTGTGTTGTTGTTGTTTAAATCGTTTGTTTGTTTTTGTTACAAACAGAGTAATTCAATTGTATGATATACGAAAAACAGGTTAATTATTTCATTTCTCAAATCTTAAATAATGTATCCCATAATTGATTAACCTTAACTTATTTGAAAGCTAAATGGTCCAGTGCAGAGGGACTGTGTACACATTGAAATTTAAAATGAAAACAACATTCAACTGTAATTTAGTGTTTATATTATCGTATCGCTTATTTTCCCAGGATTGCCCTATCTATATTTCTTCAAGTCAAGTTTTAAGTGCAATAGGACAGTGTGACATAATGTTTAAATAATATTTTAGATATTTCATTTTAATATATTATTTTTGCAATTCTTTTGTGTCGAAAATTGCATTAAAACAAAGCAAAATGACGTTATATGTACAGCGATAAATGAATGTTTTAAACAGACTCATACGAAATTAATTCAGTTATTTTCAAGCAACTGTTTTTTCCGATGCTGTTGAGACATATCTCTGCTTCCAAATGCTATGTCTATTTCATTTTCATAATGTGTTCATTACTTACTTATTCGAGTATCACATACCACCTTCTTTGAGTTTTTACAATCGTGTGGGTGCTGAAAAATAGAAACTCAGTTAACACGTGGCACCTTATTTTAGAAGTTAACT